TATTTACCACGGGGAGAATGATGGAATATCTTTATCTAGACGTATTAGAGTGACTGCAATAGAAAACTTTCTAAGACCAATAATTTAATCTCAAAAAAGAACGATTTAATATCATCTCATAATTTAGATTTCAAAACGTCATATCAAGAGACCTCTGTGCATGTATTTGAAAATCTAATATACTAATATTATTAGAAAAAAAAAAAAAAAAAACAGAGTTCAATAGTACAGGGAGTAATTATTTTATGATATTTCATTAAAATTACGAATGTGACTGACATTTCTGAGATCCGCAAGTAACAAAAGAAGGAACATAATGAACTAAATTTTGTTGTTTTGCCACGGTACAGACAAAATCACAGTGATTGTCTCGGTATTCGTCGTATATTGTATTATAATATTTTTTCGGGTGACGGTGACATGGTCGAAAAACGAATTCCATTTTCATTTTCAAAATCTCATATGAAATATGATGGGTTCAGAATCAAAGCGTTCAGCAAATCATGATATTCTAATTACGGTTATTAAATTATTTATTAATTGTGTGTAATATTGTATATACTACCAGGCCAATGTATTATGTGCTAGATCGTCTCGTTTATTCATCATTAATCTGTGTTTTTTATACCACCCAATATATTTACAATTTTTAAACATTCTTAACTATAACATTGAATACAATTATAAGATCCACAATTTTATAAATCTAATACTAAAATATTTTATTTTAAGTCCATCAAAAAACAATAGTTCAGATCAGTCTGTTAAAAAGTTATTTAGAAACTAGACTAATAAAAAGTTTTTTTCGAGAGAATGAGACTTTCTACTTACTTTACAAATTGCATTTTTAAATAAATATATTTTTTTATTCAATTTCGAACCTTTAATATGTTTTTCAACGTTTTCAAAAACCCATTCAATTATGGACCAAGAATTTTACCAAGATCTTTATCATTCACGAGATTAAACATCTGTACATTATAATATTTTCCACAAATTCAGTTGCAGTTAGATTATCTGTATAATATTTACAATATGTACCTATCGTTATATTAACACGGCTTCGAAATAATTTCATACTCCGTACGTCTTATTTTGATTTTGATTTTTATTGAATTGTTTTTAACAAATAATCATATTAAATATTTTAAGTTTTTCTCTTATAAGAATAACAGTTGTTAGTACACATTGGTAGACTTGTCCATCCATAGTTAACCTTATATTTCTAGATAAAATTATTCTGAGGTTGATAACACTGTTAAAAAAAAAAAAAAAAAAGAAAGAAGTTACTTATTATGTCACAGTTACTAACATTTTTGACTCCAGTGTGATAAAATAGCAATAACTCCCGTTAGCTTCACTATAAATAAACTCAAAATGAGCTGCTTGCATGCAAACTATTTTCATACATTTATGGCAATATATCACGTTATCATGTTAAAGTATAGAATGAGATTATTCTTATATGCGCAAATAATATCATATGATTCATATATACGTTAATCATTTCAATGACCTTATATCCGAGTTTTCATTAACTGCTAGAGGTTAAGACATATTCCGATCATACATGATATGCTTTGTGGTATACTGTATTTTTAATTTATTATTTACATTAAAATTAAATGATCGAGAAATGATCACACGACGTCTACGGCTGTGCGCATAGAAGCGTTATGCATTATGAATTATTAATTGTCATCCAATCAGTGTCCCCAATAACCTAAACACGTATATAAATATAAATATAAATAATAATAATTATATGAATATTTAGAAATAAAATATAGTCATAAATAGGTAAAGTTATATAAGTGAATATTTTGCGAACAAAACGGAGAGTAATACGTGCCCCCTACCATTAGCAACTAATTGAAATTAGTTTTCTATAGATCTCATTATGGTGTGTAAAATGTTGCTGCATTGTGCGTATTTTTAATATGCATTACTGTTATAATAAACGACGACTGGTCAGTACACCGGTATTTACGTGTTATACACATTTCAAACTTTATTAAAAGTTTTATACATGTTTAGTGAGCAAACATCAATCGATATATAGGTATCACGTGATAGATAGTACTCGTATTTATATTGCCCGTTTCGTTGAAAATAACATATTCAACGGACGGTGATTGTCTATTTTACATCACGTTGTATCATTGGTGGCTATGTTCAACAACAAAAAACTAAAACCATTACAACAGATTATTTTACGTCTTAAACAGCAGTTTTTTACTATTAACTCGAATGATATAATCGTGTTATAACGATCGTTTTTAATATTCGTTCCGATCACGGAAATTGTTATGTGCTGATTTTAATATGATGCACTAATAACTTATTAACTATAATAGGTGACTACTAATAAATTACTAGACCATGACAAACTAATAATTGTTCGTAATTTTCATATGCCATTTTTTTTTTAATATTTTTATATTAACTGGTTTACGCATAACATGATATCCAACAACATTTAGCAAATTCAATAAATTGACTAGGTATTAGAACAAAACAATATTTTTTGTCTTAATTCTACTATTTTATAATTGTTACATCAATACTATTTTAACATATTTTACATAATATATTATTTTACGTTTAAAATATAGTACATTGAACATTTATCCAGTTAAATTATTATTTTTTGCTCTGAAAGTTTTGGTTTGACATTTTCAAGATTTAAATTGTATGCTCTATGAATATCATTAAAAAAATTATTTTTTAATATTATTTTCAAAAAAAAGCATTATGTTTCAATTGTATTTTGTGCAGTTAAATATGTTTTAAATTAATTTTTCAAGATAATCATATAATTCTTTAAAAACTATCATGGCCACTGTCCTCGATATACCAGTGGCGGTCAAACGGGGAGGGGGGTGAGGGGGATAGGTCCCCCCTCATGACCTTTTTTTAAATATTTATAATTCATCCATATTATACATAATATAATATAGGTATTCATCTATTTTCTATTTAAAAAAATAAATATACTGTACTTATTAGTTATTATACAGTCTCTAGGCTCGAATAAAATTAACAGTTCAAACATAAAACACTAAAATATTAATTGAAACAAACTTTTTAGATTTTTTTCATTTCTTTTATAGTTAAATTATAAGAATGTATGAAATTTAAATTTAGTACTTAATGCTTAACATAATATACTATATTATTATATGAATTATGTAATTATATTATTTTAGAGTCATCTTAATGGTTTAACCACTATGGTTGTTCATTGTGAGGTTGTCAATATAACTGTAGACGAAGTACTGAACGAATTGGCAAAAAAACCAGAAAAATATATTTAATAATATAAATATCATTAATAATAATAAATAGTACCATTAATATAATATAATTTCCATGTTTAAAAATAATGATTTTTATATATAATGTTTGTTACAAAATCAGCAACATCCCCCCCCCCCCATGACAAAATCATTTAACCACCACTGCGCTATACTAACTGCTAATTAACTGATTGAGTTGTTTTTTAAACAATGAGAGAGTATCTAACATGAATAAAAATTAAATTTCCTCGGAATTAGTTGATCAAGTCTATATAATATATTAATGAAGACATTTTTTCTTCGGTCAAAATACACTAAAAATGGTCTCAATAATGAGAGACTGCTTTTGACGTTGTCTGATTGAATTTCATTTTACGTCCGAAAATTGACAAAAGATACTTGAAATGCAATTACTACTCTTCAGTAATTTATAAGTCGGAATGAGAATTACAAATTATATAAATATCGCTTAATGAATAGTAGTATTGTTATTAAATTAAAATAAGTGTTGATTAATCTTCATTAAAAAAAAAAAAAAAATCGTCTAAATTGCTTTTAAACTGAAAGTTTAAATTATGTGTTATAACCAAGGCTCGGGACTTATAGCACTTAAAAAAGCGCTTAAAAACATCATTATAAGCACTAAAATAAGCACTTAAAAAAATTTGAAATCAAGCAAAAATATTTATTAAAAAAAAAAAAAACCATAAAATTCTAACTAAAAAATCAAACATAATCAAAATAAATCTACACTTTCAAGATTTTAAGGATTTTATGGATTTTCTAACGCATTTTTCGAAAAATAAAATATAAACTGTTCTCTCTGTTTTTGATATTCTATTTTCAACGTTGGAATATCTTTGTTAACCACACACCGATGCCTTGGACGGCGACGAACTACGTGACAACGTAAATAAGATAAGATTTATTTTTAAATTTTAATTCTATCAAAAACGACTTTACAAGAGAAAACTATAAAACGTAAAAAAAACTGGTCAAATAAGCAAAAATAATCTGAAAAGCTGGAAATAAGCATTTTTTTGAAAAATCGCTGAAAAAAGCATAAAAAAGCATTTTCAAATTTCATAATTGTACGTGTTATAACTTGACATACACTTCTATAGCACTCTGCTACATTTTAAGTTAATCCATAAAAATAAACAAATGCTTTAACTCCCGAGCCCTGATTATAACTTATAATAACTATAATATGGTTTTGAACATAATATTTAGTTTAAACATTTAGTAAATTTCTTATTCACATTTTAAATATTATAAAATTATTTAAATTTAATACCCATTTAAACACTTATAAAACAATAGTTTGTTCCTTGTTAAGCTCTATTGAAACTATAAAAGAGAAAATAAGACAACCGTCATTATTTTTTTATATAATATATAAGTATATATAAGTACATAATTAATTAGGTACTGTTGTTTAAATCACAATTAAATTGAATGGCATTGGTATTTATTCTTTGATTTGATTAATATTTATTTGCAACTATAAAAGGATTAATTTTGTTTAAATAAGAATAAACATTTTTTTAACAAATGTTTGAATAAATAAAAAATACTTATAAGTTAATTTAATAATGTGACAGACAATATTTTTGAGTAGCTTTTTGACTTTTCTTTTTTTATATATTAAAAAATCAAATAATGTAAATTAGAAAATTCAGCAACACGTTTATTTTTCAGGAAAACGAGAGATAATGGGTACAAAAAGCAAAAATGGTCATACAGGAACGAACGGTAACGCGGATTGGCAGCAATTATGGTATTCGAGCTTCGATGACTTCCAAAAGCTTACCGAGCCTCTTTTGGACAATACTACAGAAACTAACCTCACAGTACCTTTTGGCAGTACAGCTTACCTTCACTGTCGAGTTAGAAATTTAGGTGAACGAACGGTAAGAATAAACTTTACATGTATACTATATTATATAATTATTATTATAATTATAATCACTAAAAAATTATCTAAAATTTTTTCTCAAGTCATTTGTAAAAATCAACATGGTTTCAGACCTAACATGTCAATTAACTCTAATATTCTACTTTATCAGTCCAAAATATTTGAAGCTTTAAACGATCGTGTACAGCTAGACTCAATCTACACCGACTTTCAAAAAGCTTTTGACAAGGTTCAACATAATTTACTTCTTAATAAATTATCTTCTTTTGGCATCCATGGAACTTTTCTCAATTGGTTATGGTCTTATTTAAACTGTCGTACACAAGCGGTTAAAGTTTCTCATTATATTTCAAACTCTTTTCAAGTAAGTTCTGGCGTACCACAAGGTTCCCATTTAGGTCCGTTATTATTCTTAATTTTCATTAATGATTTACCTTCTATTTTTGATAAATCGGTTGATATACTTCTATTTGCTGATGATGCGAAAATATTTTCTAAAATTACTTCTATAGCAGATGCTTTAAGATTACAAGCGAATTTGGATAAATTCAGTTTGTGGAGTCACCAGAACGGTTTACCATTAAATATAAATAAATGTAATATTATTTTTTTTTTCTCATATAAATAATACAATTATATACGATTAAAAAATAGATAACTTTTCTGTCACTAGAGTTACATCAATTAAAGATTTAGGGATTATCTTCGATAATAACTTGTCTTTCACATCTCACATAAATCATTGCAGGAAAAAAGCTCTTAAGATGCTAGGTTTTATAAACCGAAATCCAAATAACTTTAAGAACATTAATGCTTTAAAAATTCTTTTTTTTTCTCTATTTAGATTTCATCTCGAGTTTGGGTCAACAGTTTGGTCACCAAGTTATAACTTTTCCATTAATAATATTGAAAATGTACAACTTAAATTTTCTAAGTTTTTGAGTTATAAATTAAATATGCCATGTATAACAAAAAACTCATACAATATGTTTATTAGAGAATTAGGGTGTATGTCATGTGAAATAAGGAGAAAGGTTGCTGATATAATGTTTATTTATGACTTGTTAAATGGTCACATTCACTCTCCCGAATTGCTATCTATGATAGGGTTCAATATAACAAGTCACCGTTTGAGAAAAGTTAATTTATTTTATATACCGTTTAATAGATATAATTATGGCTCTTATAGTTTCTTTCTAAAATCATTATATTTAGCAAATCAAATTGTGAATTATGTTATTTTTTTTTTTCATGTCACGTATTATTTTTAATCGTAATGTATATTTAGGTTTAAATGCTATTGCAAATTAATTTTTATATTCGATTTACCATTTGCGTTCATATTAATATTATTGTTATTATTGTATTATTCTTGATTTACTGATATTTTATTGTAAATCTATATTTTATTATTATTGATTCTATTTATACTCATCTTTCAATTGTATGAAAATAGTTTATATGTTATTACTGATAATTACTTAATATTATGTCATTCACTTCTACTGTATTTTCAAAAGGGTTTATCCCGTTTATTATATATAAATAAATATGTGGTCAGGAAAGAGGTGTCGAGTAGGTGTGTCGAGTTCAATTATATAGATATATATATATATATTCGGTGATATTGATTTGATTCTCCGGGTGAGTAAAAAGTACATGTTTTATTTAATAAGTTTTTTACAT